CATAGGTGCTTTGTCAGAATTTCTATGAGGTAGGTAGAATGAACAAGAACTTCAAAATCTGAAAACAGAGGAACTTGCTCGTTCTGTCTCAGCATCTCAAATGAGTTATTAAGGAACAGCAGTAAAGGGAAGCAGAAATCTGCCTTGTAACTGGTGTGCTAGAGTCGGTATTGTCAGTACTTTACTAGAACAATACATTTCTATCCTTAGAAAGTGCATATAAGCTTACATATTACATAAACACACTTATTTTCAGGGCACTTTTTCAGGAATTTCTGCTTTTGGATAAATTATGTCAAGCAGGGCATGAGCCAAAAGTGGGTATTCCATAACTTCCTTCTCTGCAGCCCGTGCATTTAGACTCTGTTTCTTCTGCTTGTGACTAAGAGCTTCAGACACCCTGAGGAAAGAAGGTTCTCCTTGTTTAGCAAGAAAAAGCAGTCTGGAACAGGGTTTTCAGGCTTCTATTACAGCTGCGGAATAAAGATGAGAAATCAGTGTTCCAAGTAAGTGCTTTTCCAGTCACGGCAGAGTAAACTCTGTAATGCATTATGTGCTAAAAGAGGAAGAAATGTCAGGAAAAGCTAATAAGGTTAAGCGTATTTCTCTTTTGGCTTTTCAGCAGAGAATCTTGCTTCCTGTGCTGCATTATACCGATCAGCTCTAGTATGCGCAGAACAATGCAGAATGTCAACTTAGATTCCCCCCCCCTTTATTGTTTATACATTGGAATTTTTTGTTCCATTTTTTTTACGGACCAGTGTAGGCTACATGTCTTCCTTAGGATTAAGTGTGTGGTTGTGATTTGCATGGGTGAAGAAAATCTAACTCTGAATTTTGTGTTTTATTGAAAATACGAAAAAAAACCCCAGTTATGTTATTGCCCTCTGGGAAGTAAGCTGCAGCGTTTGAATAGTGCATAGAATTACATCTAAGATTGCAAGTCTGTGTGTGGGAGGAATGGCATAGCTATGCTTTAGAAAAATGACTTCATTGGAGAGTATTTTGTATTGCTTTTTTTAATATTTGAACTACCACATTGCTATGTGTTTTTGACTGAGGATATTAGCTATAGAACTGAAGATTTTTACCAGTTGATCATAATATGCATTTAACTATCTAGTTTCCCAGTCACTGTGTTATTTTAACCCTCTTGCGTATATACATTTTTGTGTTGTAAAGAAAAATATATCTGCTGATACTATGTATGGCTTTATGCCAAAAAAAGGATATTTACTCCTTTTATTTAAAGCAGGAAGGCAAGTAGTCTTTTGCTTTTCCTTCATAGAATTCTGAAGCTTCTTTAGGTGGTGTTATGAAGAAGTCTTACTGGTTTTGTCTCTACTTAAATAATTCATTAAATGCTGTCTGGTGTTTGGGAGGAAAAATATTCTGAGATTAAAAACTGTAGATTTGCTAAAAATAATATAAGCAGGGATGTGAAAAGAAGGATTAAGTGACTTAAATGCCCACGTTTTTAAAACATTCTGAGATGATAATTTCAGAGTGTTGACCTCTTTGTTAACCATTGTAGAGTTTTGTGGCTGACTTCTGGTTTTAATATACTTTTACAGAATAGCCAGTTTTAGGGAGATATGAAAATTAGAACCATAAAAGGTGTTCCCTAAATGCAGGGGATGGTGGTGGTGGGGTGTGTGTTAAATGTATTTTGGCGATTCCTAACACCTTATTCTTAGATTTAAAATTTGAAGGGTAGTAGTTTATATCTGATTGTGTGTGTGTCTTACTGCTATTTAATCAGAATTAAAAGGATGGTTGCAAAAAAAAATCACTGTGGCCTCTATGTAAAAGCAGCTTGATCACAGAATCACAGACCAGTTGAGGTTGGAAGGGACTTCTGGAGGTCATCTGGTCCACTCCCTTTGCTCAGCAGGACCACTTAGAGCCCAGGACCCTGTCTGATGCTAGTTTTTGGGTTTTGTGTATTATTTATTTGTTTTGATCCTTAAAAGGATCACTGGAGGTGCTCTTCTGGGTTTGGTTCATTTACCCTCTACCATTTGTCTTTGCTTATCTTTGCTTGACAGCTTTTCCTTTATGCTTCTCTGAAAGAGGCCTTCTAAAGCCGTACTATGTACAAGTTAGTTTTCCTCCTTTTATTTGCAGAGTGCCTATAATGTAATTATCTTTCTCAAGTTAAGGGGAAAGACCCTAGTATGTGTTTGGAGTTTACTGGTATGGTTCTTTTATGTTGTCTATGTATGCAGTAACGTATGTACTGTTCTGAAGAAATCCCTTCTGTGAGATGGCTGCTTGCATGAGCCTGTGTGATGAGAGATGACTATTTTCAGGTTAATATATGTTGTTTCAGTCTCCTGGGGAATGTTGCTTCATTTCTGCCTTTTTTAATACATTGTTGTGTTATTCTGTTCATGTCTCACATCTGTACATTCCGACTGTCTCTCTGGTCTTTTCCATTGACCTTGGTATTGAAGCTGAACCATATGTCTTAGCTGGTCTCCTGAAGAAGTGTAATTTAAATAGTTGTACTGTCTGAGGATCCTAGTAACCTTTGAACTTCTTGGCCAATTTTGAACAAAATTGAGACATAGTTGTTTCAAGTTGCTGTATATTTTATGAAAACAGGTGGTCCATTTAAAGGCAAGTGACCTTGAATCTCTTAAACAGGAAAGACTGAAGTATGAGCTCAACTATTATTAAATGCTGGGGGGGGGAAGGTGTTAAAAGTGCTCTAGTGAAAGAAAAAAGCTAATACTAGTGTTTACCTTTTATTTGACATCAGAAATCCACTTAGAAAGCAAAATCCTCCTGGAAAGTCAGGCTTTATGCTTCCTCTTCAGTTTGTTACTTGAGGTGCTAAGAATTAGTTGAAGTAATTCTTTCCTTGTCTGCCTTTACACAGGAATTAGCAACAGCTAAGAAAAATATTTGATGGTAATTTTTCTGGTAGGCATGTGCTGTGTCCAGGAATAAGGGACTTGCAATACAAAGCTCCAGGGCAGCTTGCATTTTCTCTGTCTTCAGTGGCATTAAGGGGTGTGTTCTATCATGGATGCTGGCAAGAAAGCGATTGGATTGTCAGCTTTGTTCTCTTGCTGCTGCTCTTACTTTCAGGAATTTGAATTTTGTCATAAGACCTTCATTTTCACTCCCGGCATTAACTCTATTGTGCACAGAACCTGTCAGCAGGCTTCAACAGCGTGGGAGCAGTGCTAATTCCATGAGGTGTGGCTACGAACACCCACTCAGCATTTTGGTTTTGCATAGACAAAGAGTATCTCCAGCTTTGTTTTCCAGGATGTGTGCTGATGAATTAAGGAGAGGAGATGATTATCTGTGGATGGAGTCTAATACAATAAATTCCAGTTAAAATGGCAGCAGTAAGGGTGTGGTGTTTGAGGAAGTGGCAGTAATGTGATAACTGCTCTCTGAAGTTGTGAAACCTGGGCCAACCTAGAGTCACTCTGTGTCCATATACTGCTGTAAAGTTCTGTAACTTGGAAAATTAGCAGGTTTTTAAATGCGTTGATGTTGGCGTTAATTTAGCTTTTCATGTAGGTTACCAGCACCAAAACGTTATTAACTTTAATTGTTACAGGAAATTCAGAGTTAAATGCACTAATAACTGAGTGAATCTTGCAGTGTAATTTAAGGTGGGATAAAGTGCAACAAAAATGGTGAAACCAGTTCTAGTAGCTGATTAATGCCAAAAAGGGAGGATGTTACTCTTCTTCCCTGTTCCTGCTCATGTGTGATGTCCTGCCCTCTGCATCAGCTTGTACCATACCGCCTGTCATGTCAGGTCAGAAGTCAGCTCGCTGATTAGCAGAAAGCTCTCTGGTTTTGAGGGGGTTTTGTGTGCTGGGGAGTGGTGGTGTCTGGTTTGTTCCCCCTAGCCTCGGTTTAGTTTTCTGTCAGGTATGTGAGTTGAATTGGCTTTCTAGAGCAGTCCAGTGAGCCCCAGAAATGGCTCAAAGTAGGCAGCAGGAGCTCAGACCCAGAATGAGGACAGAGAGGGAGAATGGAGTGCGCCATTGCCCTTTGACTAGTGATTAATTGTTAGAATGGTTTAAGCTGCCTTGTGCAACTTCACCCTACCCAAACCCAAGGAAATCAAGCAAGATTTTGAGAAATTCCTGGATTTTGAATATTTTTGATATAGATTTTTACTGAATATTTATCTTCCTTAACTTTAACAGGGTAGGATCCTGCTAGTCTTTAATTTCTTTTTGGCTTATTTACAGTTTGACTATAGCTTGCATGTAAGTAACACTACATCTGCAAATGTTCAAATACTTAATAAGCAATTAAGCTTCACTGAACCCAGTATACAGAATATTATTTATTGTGACTTAATCTTGTCAGTGCTTCCTGTTGCCTTAGTATTTTGCACTTTATAAATCTCATCACCTAATTAATCCCTATAGTACAAAATAGGGGGTGGGGGGGAAGGGACTATGTTGTTACAGAAATGAAACAAACTTAAATAGTGTCTTTGAAAATGCTCAGTCTCCTAGAAATAACTTTTGAGTAAATTGACATATATTTTTAAAGAGACTAAATTGTTTCTGAAGTTAAGCAAGTGCTGCTTCCTTTCTGGAACCTTTCATATTCAAGACTGGATGTTTTATTGCTTCCCTGAGATAAATTCTTTAGAAAGATGGAGGGGGCGGGAAAGGAAGAAAACTACGACAAGCTTTTTAGCATTGCATATTCATTATCTGACCACCAAGTAGCTTGGAGTGAAGAATCACTCTGGCAGTATTGCATAGTTATTCTTGTTCATTACCCTTTCTTTAAAATGAGAATATTCTGGGGGGAGGAATACTTAAAGTTTGTGTTTTACGTTGTTTCTTAAGTTGATTTTTCAGCTGACAAGAAAGCAAAAAGGATGGTGAATACTTCTAAGTCTTAATGAAAGCAAACTCAGGATTTATCTGGTCAGGAAGGGCTTGTGATATGTTATTAGAAATAACAATTTATTTTTATTTTATTTATTTATTTTTTCTTCCCCCCAGGTGATTCATGGCAGGGGACGTGGAAGGGTTTAGCTCCTCCATCCATGACACCAGTGTCTCTGCTGGATTCAGAGCACTGTATGAGGAGGGATTGCTTCTTGATGTCACACTTGTCATTGAAGACCACCAATTTCAGGCCCATAAAGCACTGCTTGCCACCCAGAGTGATTACTTCAGGATTATGTTCACAGCTGATATGCGAGAACGAGATCAGGACAAAATCCATTTGAAAGGTCTGACAGCTACAGGCTTCAGTCATGTCCTCCAATTCATGTACTATGGAACTATTGAACTGAGTATGAACACTGTTCATGAAATCCTTCAGGCTGCCATGTATGTCCAGCTTATAGAGGTGGTAAAATTTTGCTGCTCTTTTCTCTTAGCTAAAATCTGCTTAGAAAACTGTGCAGAAATTATGAGACTTCTGGATGATTTTGGTGTAAACATCGAAGGAGTCAGGGAAAAACTGGACTCCTTTCTGCTAGAGAATTTTGTGCCACTCATGTCCAGACCTGACTTCCTTTCATATCTGAGCTTTGAGAAGCTCATGTCTTACTTGGATAATGATCATCTGAGCAGGTTTCCAGAGATAGAGCTGTATGAAGCTGTTCAGGCCTGGCTACGCCATGATAGAAGACGCTGGAGGCATACGGACACCATCATTCAGAACATCAGGTTTTGTTTGATGACACCATCCAGTGTTTTTGAGAAGGTTGGTGCATTTGAAAAGCAGTAGACAGGATTCATCATTTAGCTAGGGCAGCATGACATTAAATAGGTAAGATTCCCAAACCTATTAGGAGGAACAAAAAGATAGCACTTATTTTTCTAATAAACCCATAGAAGACAAACATCTAGAACTATTGTCATCTGATTATTAGACAATAGTATGTACAGTGGCTGGAGAACAGGTAGGTTTACAATAAATGTTTTTAAGTGACTTCATATGGAAAGGACATTTTAAAATAAGGTTACTTGTATCAAGTTTTATTTCAATCATTCTTATTGTTTTCCACAAGTTGCTTCTTGCTTTCCAGAGATTTTAAAGCTGCATACAGTATGTAGGGCGTATGTCATGGTAATTGTTATCAATATAATCAAAACATAGTGACTGTAGATTTTATGTGGTTTAAGTACAGATTTTTTTTATTTACAAATGAAAACTAGCATCTGCTGTTAAATCTGCAGGGTGTTTTTGTTGTTGTATCTTCAGTGCTTGTGCTGCTACACAGCAGTTGGAAGTAAGCCCTGATCCCGCAAAGTTACACATACATTTGACTCTACACAAGGCTCATAATACAATCAGAAGTTATTGACAGTGTGAAATGCAGTGATTTACTTTAAATATCAGAGGAATCTTTGTAACAGGTGATCTAAAATTCAACTGATCATTGTGTGTACTAAGAGGTTAAAAGAGAACTTGGTTTTTCTACTGTTCTGTTGAAGAATAGACAAAAAATGTTGTTTTCTAGTTCCTGAGAATCTCTTGAGTATTTGTCAAGAGTAGAGAATTGCAAAACTTTGTAAGCAGCTTTCTTGCAGGCTACTAACAGTAAAGGTATTCAGGTTAGGAATTACTTAAACTGTGCTGTTTTGTTTTAACAATGTTAATTTTCTGTGAAAAGATACAACTTTTAGCTTGTGTATTTTTCACATTTCAGTGAATTAATAGGATTTAAGACCCTGTGTTCTTGTTGGGTGTCTTACAAATTAATTTCCTATGTATTTTTACTTTGGTATCTAGTGAATACACAGATAAGGTTGTATTGTTCTTGGTGGTTTTAAGGGCTACTGGATCATTTAAGCAGTAATGCTTACACTTACTTGTATTTTAAATTATAAAAGCTATTAATTACTTCAGAGACTAGTGAGTTTTTATGTTTTGGATTTGTTTTGTGTGTGCGAATTGAGTAGATGAAGTAATAATACATAAAATATATTTATGATCATATATTGGCCTATAGACATAAAAGAAATAAATACCTAAACATACTTTAGAACAGTAATGTAATGTTTATATTGGGTTCACACATTTCCAACTAATAAGAGCTGAACTCTGCAAGATACTGTGTAGTGTCTTGTTTTTGATAATGTTTTTTTACCTTATTACTACATCATTTAAGCCCTTCAGCAGAGAAACTGGTAGGATTCACAGAGTATTCTTAAGGTCAGTCTAATAGGGTGAGACTGATCTGAAACAGTCTGCTTCAGCTCTTTGAGTTTTTGGGATACAAGGTCAAGCATCAAGCTGTCTTCAGGTGAATTTCTGTAAGCGCAAATGAAAAGTGTGTGTTGTTTTTCAGCATTATATTTAGTTATAACTTCTGGAGCTGGTTTTGGTATCAGTGGTATAAGTCCTGCATACAGTGCTTCTCGTGTTTTATTTTGACACCTACCAAATGGTCAGATAGGTACAACTTAAGGAGAGAAGTAATTTTCAGCATCCCATTTTATATATCCACATGTAAAAGCTTTATCTGTGAATACTCTTTCCATGAATTGTATGTGGGAACAGAGAGAAGCCAGTTGTAGATTTTGGAGTGGGACAACTCAGCAGAGGGAAGCACAGCTAAAAAAGTGTGTCCTTTGTTGCTGCATCTAGGAATGTATTTGTATTTTGCCCTGGCTACAGAGCACTGAGTAATCCAGCATGACAAGTGATAAAGGACAACAGCAGTTGGAGCTAACATGAAAATATAGCCCAAACTTTTTTTTGTTTGTGTTTGGTTTTGTTTTTTTTTTTTAATAAAAGAGTTTGTCTGTTAACTGTTCTAGAAGTAACCTGAGGAGAACTCTCTTCTGTGTATAGAAGAAGAAAATTATTGGTAAAACTGCTTTTTTTTGAGATCCACAAAGATAAATTCACCCATTTCCTGAAGCCAGCACATGGTAAATGCCTGTGCGAATGTACCAAATACAATCTGAGGTTGACTCTTACGGTTCAGCGAGCTCTGTATTCGCTATACACTGGCTGGCTTGTCATATGTACTCTTACGTAATCTTCTCTAGGATGCCTGTCATTGTAGTATATAAATAACTTACATAACTTAACTTTGCAAGTCACAGTAAAGATACTTTTGGCCTCTTAAGCCATTCTATTTCTTACATAACTTTTTTTTGAAGAGATTTACAATCTGAGTGGGATAGCTTGCCCTTTTAAAAAGGAATTGATGAGCCACTCTAGATTTACACCTTGAGGCTGAGGAGGTGCATTTGGAGTGAAGGTGCAGCCTGTTTGCTTACTCTAAACTGTCCTGGAAGAACTGCTTCTGAAGTATGAGTAGATACTCCTTTTGTTCCTCAGCCCTTAAAATAGATGTAGATGTATGATGGAAAATGGAAACATAAACGAAGTAAGGATTTAGGGAATAGTTAGAAAATAAAGGCAAAGCATATGGGGAGAAGCACAAGTTCTACTATGCATGTTACACTTTTCTTTATTTGAAACATATCCATGGCTCTGTAAGACTTGAGGAAGGTTGGGGATAAAAGTTAGAGGGCATTTCTCCTAGATCACTGAATTCATCTCTGTTACTGGAGGCAACCATGTCATGATTTCCTTTCATATACTGTTTAAGCTCCATTTAGTTTCTGTGTACTATTCAGATGGAAATGTTTCCAACCCACTGTCCTGAAAATCAAAAGGTTGGTTTTTTGTTTTTTTTTTTGATGTCCAGTCTGTCCAGGCTTTGTTAGGACTAGCCCATGCTGATATAGAAATTCCCAGCTTAAATCAGAAGCTTACTAATCACTAGGTGCATCAGCTTCTGATTTAGAGATAGGATGAATAGCATATTATCTTTGAGTATGTGCTTTCCTGTGCCTAGAAAACAGTAACTTTTGAGAAGATGTCACTGTAACTTTATGTCATTGTGACTTCACCTTTGGTAAATGTGTTGAATTTTTTTTTTTTTCTCATTTGCCTCCATGTCTAGTAATTCATACATATCTACTTCTATAACTTCTTATGCTGAAGTTTAGAATGAGAAGTGTCTAGTGGATGAGGCCCGTCTTACCTTAAATAGGTGCTACTCTCGGTATTTTTATGTCTAAAGGTTATTGCTGTCTTGGATAGATTTGCTAGCAGTATTTGTTTTGTGCTCAGCATCTCAATTCTGGCATATAGATCATTGGCTCCACTCTGATTTGAGAGATTAGATTTGATTTAGATTCCAGCTTGATTGTGATAATTTCTCCTGCCAGTTTCTAAAAAGGAGCAGCAAAATACTCAATTTGAGGGCATTGTCCTTGTTGCACAGAGGCTATGCTGTCTTGTCTTTGTACAGTTAGGCTGAAAAACAGTAAGTGATTTGTAGCGCTTGCAGAATAGCCCTTTAAAGCCCTGTACTGGTACTGACCAGTTTTTGTACTGGCCATGGGATGTAACTAAGTAATGACCCATGCTAGAAAAAGAGAAAGTTAAGTACAGCAGCTTGTCCAATGCTCTGTATACTGATGTTCAGTTGCAAAGTAATTTTGGTTGCTGCTGTTTTAGAGACATACACGTAATTTTTTCTATTTGACTGAATTTTTATTTGGAATAAGTGTGTTAACATTTTGGTAATGTTTATTAACAGGCTTATAATTGTGCTTAGAATGTGGCCAGAGATAAGTAGATGTGAAAATAATAAGGATCCTCGTTAGTAGGATTGATGGATCTTTAGTTTTGATTCAGCTTAATCTCTAGTAAAATACCAATTATTTTTGCAAGTAAGAGGAAGAATTTGCTCTCTAGAAGTCTGATACAGATGCCATCATTATTCATTGAAAAGGTGTAGCATAGCTTCTGTATTCCTTGTAGTTGAGTTTGAGTTGCATCACTGAAACATTCAGAATTAGCAGTCCTTTGAAATAGTTCTCTGCTTCTGTGGCTAGAGGTGATAGTGTCACATTATGAGCCATCTAGGATCTTTCTGTGGTTTTTTACCAGTTCTACAGAAGGAACCAAGCTAATATCTACCCCATATAATAACATGTTAAGATATAGTTACCGGGTGTAGAAATAATAGATGTTTAGTTTGGGCATTTCAAAAGTAGCCTTTCTATATGGTTTTGAAAGCTTTTTCCTAAAAGCCCAAGTAACAAAAATAAAAATAGAGCGATAGCTCTAAATGGTTGTATGAAGGAAAAAAAAAAAAGCTATATACTGAAGTCAAACTTATGTTATAGAACATTTACCTTGCATTTCATTGCTCTTCCTGCACCTTATAATTTGCATAATTGTTTTTTTGGTGGGGGAAGATGATGAACATAACATGGGCTACACCTGGTCTTTTGTGGGGATCACTGTTCAAATTAGAAAATAATGGCTTACATGTTTGTCTTTGCTTTTTCATAGAATAGAGATGGAAAATTCTGAAACTTGCATAGCTGCTGCAACTAGAAAAGCATGCATTGCAATACAGCAGAAAAATAGGCAATGATTTATAGCTGCATTAATTTGGAAAGCCACCGGTTTTTACTGAGTGTTTCACTGATTCAAAATGAAGAAGACAAAATGCATTCAAGCTCCGATTTACTATGGCTGGAGTGATGGTGGTGATTTTGGTGAAGTCTTGATGGTTTTGGTATTGACTTCCTAGGGCGTGTGTATAGAGGTGGATGTTTTAAATTATTTTCCTCATCTCTTTTTATGGAATGACACATGTGATTTTGTTTATGCTGTTCCCTGTCTGTGTAGCTAAAAGTCCGACTGTGAACCACTGTAACTGGTAGATGATGCAATGAGATAGTTCTCATTAGAATTCTCTGGGGGGCTCTTACATTAGCTCTATATCCCAGCAGAACCTCTATATGAAGGTTTTGTCCAGAAAACTGAAGAGAAATAATTGGAAAGAATGTAAAAAATTCTATCAGCAAAGATTTAGCACTTGGATTAAATTCCTTTTTTACAAGACTGGGGTTGGTAAGGAAGTCCAACTTAAACTTTCTCTGAGACCCTTCAGCAAGGAAACAGAATAGTCTTTCTTTAAACTTTGCAAATGCTATGAAGCTTTTATTTTTTTTTTATTAATTCAGAGTTAATGATGTACTCTTAAGAATGCACATTTGTTTTACTTCAAGGTTTGTCACGGTTCGTGTGCATTTCCATCTGTTTTGGATGTTTTGCAGAAACTCAGAGCACTCTCTCTGAGTATGTTGGTAACTAGGGGCATATTCCTTCTAGAGTTTCTCCATTTGAAGTTAACAGGAAAATCGGTTTGTTGGTAAGCACTTAGGTATTTGTTGATCAACTACTTGTTGCTACTTAGGGGTAATGGCAGAGCCTGATTTTAAAGCTGAGGGGTTTCCTTTGGCATATTTTGGGTGTCAGACAGCAGTTGCCACAAAAGCCTTGCTGAAGACCATGTTCTTTAATCTACTAAAACTAAAATATATGCACAACTTTGTGTCTCGATACCTAAACACCTAAATATTAATTCTTCTCTTTTTTTATTATACACACAAGTAATTAAAAGTGTTGTAAAATTATTCAGAATTGTAGGTGTTCGGAGGGGTTTCCTTACCGTGGGCTGAAAAGGACTTTCAAATAATTCTGGAAGATTTCGCACAGACAAGGTGTGAATGTGAAAATGGGCAAACTGACCTACATTTGCTTTGTCTTCATTTGCATCAAGCAAGTGTGAGCAGTCTGCACTTTCATATAGGCATATCCTAACATTCATCTTAGACCATCATTTGAGCCTCAGGAGAGGTACTGCTCCTGTATGGCAGAGGTTGTGCTGGTGGAAGGCTAGAAACACTGATATTTTTCCTCAACAGCAAAGTCTAGGAAGCCTCCAACTGCCATTTCTTAACAGAAATCAGATAGTCTGTCACTCTGTTTTGTTTTGTGGGTTTTTTTTCTGACTATTGTAAGAATTGCTAGTGCTTAGATATTTTCGTGTTCATCTCTTCAAGACTGTACTTGTAGATGACTTCCCCACAAACTTCAGTCTGAAAGAGTTGTTTGTAACTGGCAGTTGCATTTGCTTCTTTATGTCTTTCTGGTTTAAGGTAAGAAAGAGATCAAGGCTTTGCTTTGATGTTAGTGCCTTTGTCAAGATAAGTAGTAGTAGTAAACTACTTAAATAGATTGATTCCTTGGTCTTGAGATTCTGTCTCTGGAATGAGATACTACTTGTTTCCTTTTGCATGCTCTCATGGGGTGAGATTTAGGCCATGTGAAGGAGTAGAGTGGTTTAGCATATATGAAGCTTATTTTAATTCCAGTTTCTGGCTGGCATTTCAATTTCTAGATCTAAAGACAGAGTTGTAAATGTTGAGGGGGAAAGAAAAAAACATTTTCCGTCTCTGCCAGGCTTTGCTGGCAGGCTTCACACTGAAATTATGTTGATACTGTTATGTTCCATAATCATCCAAGAAAACTTGAAATGCATATAGGTGGAACAAAAATTGTTTATCTCTTTGTTTAATTCCAAAAATGATAGCTCCAGTTTGGGAATGCATGAAATAGTCATGCTGTTTTAGAATTTGAAAGTTACTTTTAAGGATAAAGTAATGCACCCACAATTCTTTGTTATTTTAACTTCCTGTTTCGGTTTTTGTAGCCTTTAAGGCTTTCTATATTTTGCCATTTTTCTGTTGCTGTGGTTCTTCCTGCCACCCCTCCCCCAGCATATTTTCTGGAATTTATGTTCCATCTTTTCAGTCAGGCAAGGTATATGGTTTATTCTAACAAATGCCATATGAGCAGATCTCCTGTGCTCGTATGATACATTCTTTAGTTGCAATAAGAAAATAGATCTGTTGTTCCCCAGAAGAGTTGGGCTTACTATGGGTTTTTTATAAGCACTGTACCTAAGTAAACCTTTTTGTTCCATAATCATCCCTGGTAAAAACGGTAGAAAGAAATTGGGTATTGTCCTAGGGATAATATATGCCATCTGCGTGTGACCATCCTCTTTTTCCAAGCAAAGAGAAGTTGAACTCATCAAAATAAAGTGGGGGGGAAATGTAAATAAAAACATCAAATCTCTATAACTCTTGAGCTGTACAGTGCTTTGCAATGGTAGGTTAGTATTCAGGGTTTTTTGAAAATCTGGTGTGTAAAACAATCTCAGAATCTGTGCAAATCATGTCAGTAACAGTTCAAAAGATTTGTTAGAAATGTTTATTTGACAGCAGAATGTCTTAATTACTATACAAGGAAGAGAAATAATTAACTGAGAGCTAACAAAATTTTAATAGTACATGTTTATGGAACAACAGCTACTTTAATCACAACGTATAAACAACATTAGTTTCCAAATTGCTTTTCATATACATGAAAACTCACACCACTACCCCTCAGGTAAGTGGTGGTACAGGTTTTTGTCCCTTGGGACAGGGAGTACGAGGAAGTGGGAGAACAGATACTGAAAATAGTAGCTTCTGGTATTACCTTGTGGTCACTTGAAAATTTCAGAGTGGCCTCGCATTTTTTCAGAGCATTGCTTCTCTTTTTGGAGCTGGTGGGAACTAAAGGTATTCGGAGTGTTTGAAAGCAATCCAGTTTTATGTGAAAGAAACTGGGACTTAGGATCACATCTGATAGAGGATTTGTGGATTTGGCAGTATCTAGCAGGTTTTAATTTGTTTTAGAAGTATAATTTGGAATGCTGTGTTAGAACAGACTGTACAGGAAGAGTGAAGCTTCTTTGAAGAGAATCACACAGTGACCCAAGGGCTGCCCAAAGCTAGATTTATTAAAATGTTCAAGATGGGGATGTGTTTTGGAATTGTCTCAGGGCCAGTCTTGGGAACTTAAATTGGCTTAGATAGTAGGAAGGGTCCTGGAAAGGTAAATTCTTAGTCTTCCTCCCATCCCCCACACCCCCCCCCGTCCCGCTCCAATAAAACTGAGTAGGTATAGTTCTTTTCAAATTGAGATGGCACCAAGAAGGAGCACTTCACTACTACGTGTTAATTCAAAAGTTGTAACTCTCACCTGGGAAGTGGAAGTTTAAACCTACTCCTGCAATTTGCCAAATAAACGTGCAACCAAAGGATTATAGGTTGAGATGTTTTCCTCTTGTGTTAAAGGTGTGCGTTAACACATGGAGACTCACAGAGGAGAAACCATAAGGTAGCCATCATGATGAGTGGTTAGTGGGATCACGTGTTCTGAAGGGAAGGGGTTTGGGTACCCTCCCTTCCCACCCTGCCCCAATTAAATAGCCCGGTGAGCAGAGCCTTGGGAATACCAGCTTGGGCTTGGTTGTGAGAATTCAGCAGAAATTTGACTAGGGTGGACCTTGGTAAACACAGAATGGGTGTGTAAAATGTTTTCCAAAATCAGGAAAATAGTGCATTTTTAATTTAGGTGCTTCAAGGATTAAGCTTTTTTGGGGAGAAGGAATAGTGATTTTTAGACTTGGCGGTTTCAGTTGTGCTGAATTCAGGCTTAAATTCTGCATGTGAGTATTCTGCTGAAAATGTTAGTTACTGCTGTTCATCACTACATTGCCTTCTGGATTTTGGATAACGGTACATTAGTTTAACCCTCCATGCACATATGCAGTTGCTTTCAAGATTACCTGAATGCAACTAAGTAAAATAACCTTCTAATGACACATAGTCATTTATTTAGGTTTTCTGGATTGTTTCTCTTGGTCAGAATTTTAATACCTTTTAAATGTATTCATAGGTAAAAACATCAGAGTTTTATCGATACTCCCGGCAGCTGCGACATGAGGTTGACCAAGCCATGAATTACTTTCATAGCGTTCACCAACAGCCTTTGATGGAAATGAAATCGAACAAAATTCGTTCTGCCAAACCCCAGACTGCAGTATTTAGAGGAATGATAGGACACAGTATGGTAAACAGTAAAATTCTTCTCTTGCACAAACCAAGGGTCTGGTGGGAACTAGAGGGCCCTCAAGTACCTTTACGACCAGACTGCCTTGCCATTGTGAATAACTTTGTATTCCTATTAGGTGGGGAAGAACTGGGGCCAGATGGTGAGTTTCATGCTTCATCCAAAGTGTTTAGATATGACCCAAGACAGAACACGTGGTTACGAATGGCAGACATGTCTGTTCCACGTTCTGAGTTTGCTGTTGGAGTTATTGGGAGGTATGTTTATGCGGTGGCTGGGAGAACCAGGGATGAAACATTTTACTCGACTGAACGGTATGATATTACTGAAGATAAATGGGAATTTGTGGATCCCTATCCAGTCAATAAATACGGACATGAAGGGACTGTGCTTGGTAACAAGTTGTATATCACTGGTGGAATTACATCATCTTCAACTTCTAAGCAAGTGTGTGTGTTCGATCCCAGTAAAGAAGGGACAGTAGAGCAGCGAACAAGGAGAACTCAAGTGGTCACTAACTGTTGGGAGAACAAATGCAAAATGAATTACGCAAGATGCTTTCACAAAATGATTTCTTATAATGGTAAGCTTTATGTCTTTGGTGGTGTCTGTGTGATCCTAAGGGCCTCCTTTGAATCTCAAGGATGTCCTTCTACAGAGGTGTATGACCCAGATGCTGATCAGTGGACTATATTGGCTTCTATGCCAATTGGTAGGAGTGGTCACGGTGTAGCAGTTCTGGACAAACAGATAATGGTTCTTGGAGGCCTGTGTTACAATGGTCATTACAGTGATTCGATTCTCACCTTTGATCCAGAGGAAAACAAATGGAAAGAAGATGAATATCCGAGGATGCCATGCAAGCTGGATGGGTTACAAGTCTGCAGCTTGCACTTTCCTGAATATGTTCTGGAGCATGTTAGACGTTGCAGCTAAACCAGAATGAACAACTTGCTGAAATACAAAAAGCTGTACCTAATTTGTCAAAACATAAAAGCCAGTTGAATTCCTTCAGAGACATTGCTTTGTGTATAAGAACAACTGCTAAATGCTTACAAGAAACAGGATGTACAGGGAGAGTACTTACCAAGTTTATTAGAAAAGCCAGTAGTTGGTCTGATATTGTAAAAGCTTTGGGTTTTTTTTTAAACAAACATAATTGTAAGTAGGGGAAAGAGAAATATATTTTTGAGTGTGGTTATTTTTTGGTAACATTTTACATCCATAATACTTACTTCGTTTTTTTTTCTTTTTTTTAATGGCCGTTATACCACTATGCTTCTGAAATCAGTTGAGTTTAACAAAATATTTGTGGAAGGAAGGAAGGAAAGAAGACTTTCATTTTTTTTTATTGAGCATCAAAATAAAGCTCATCATCATCTGTACTAAGGTACAACCAGGTTTAAAAGAACAAAACTAAACAATTTCTGTATTTTATGTTGTCTTTTGCATGCTTTTCCCGTTAATTGCAAAGTATTTTCAAATCTGCTAGGTGTTTTTGTTTTCCCTTATATATGTTGAAGAATAATCTTAATGCCTTTGCATGACCTTTTTCCTGGTTTTGTATAGTAGTACCAGTAAGTCTGCCAAAATGCTAATTACACATTTTCTACTAAATTGAAAATGAAACATTTTTATATTCAAAACACTATTTCTATGCTGCCTTCTATTGTCTGCATTGTGTTTGTTGGTGAGTAACATATATACACACACATGCATACACTGTAAAAACTATATATAAATACATCTTTTTATGTGCAGCTACAATATTATGTTTTAACTAGTGCACAGATTCAGCCATATCTGTTGAACTTAAGGTAGAGTACTATCCTTTAATGAGCTAAATAATTTGAAGTTCTTAAGTAACTGGAGGCCTCATTTGGTATCAAAGTATCTTATCTTTAGTATTTACTGATTGATTCAGTAACTTTAAACTCTTTATATTGATGCTACATAATGAACTGTTGATAATTTGTTACTTTATAAATTATTTTTTAAAAAGTAAACACATCTTACCTGAGTTTCTTTTATGTTTGAATGTGCTGCCCGGTCTTCTTTTTTTATGAAAATGGAAAATGTCAATAAGCAAATGCTCAGCACTGCTTTGACCCACAGTTATTTTAGGAACTGGATAAACTACAGTTTGTTCTCAGTACTTTGCTTGTTCTCGTACTTCAATCTGAGTATTTTGTTTGTACTCTTATTGAAGTGGTATAATCTTTTATTATTTTAATTATTGACTGCTATGAACTACTGTGTTTTGAAAATGTGGAGTTAGGTGGTTGGATGGTTAGTGCCATTTATGTTTCTTCTACAAAAAAACCTACACAACTATCGCTACTGACCTCAGAGTGCCTGAAATGAGATGTGTGGTCCAAGAAGGCTTTGAATAACTCCATTGTGTTAACTTGCAGATATTACTGACAGTAGATTGGTAAGAATTATCTGCCAAGACATAAATAATAACGGTAACTACATTCTGATTGTAGTTAATGATGTGAAATTAGCCACTCCTAGAATCTAAAGGAGAGATTTGAGGAAGTTGAAAGCTCACACTTAGTTGAGGCAAAATGCTGTAACATGCACCTGCATATTTTGTAAAATCTTACGCTGCTGTGTTTCACTTTAAGCAATAGACTTTACTTTATGTGCAGCAATGCAAAACCACTTTATTCAGCATCTTCCAGTCAGAGATCACTGTAGAAAAGGAATGTACAATACTCAGGGAGTTCAAAAGAATGCACTTACAAAGGGACCAAAATCACCCTAAATTTCCTATGTTAAAAGTAACACCTACTTGCCTAAACTACTTTTGAAAAAATTGATAGAAGTTAAAACAATCTGTAAAACTCCTCATACTTGTATTTTAATATTTTTGTAGGAATTACATTCTGAGTTGAGATGTGAGGATTTGGAGCTATAGGGCAAGTTGGATTTTTTTTTTTTTTTTTTAAATGAGTAAAGATTATTGATAGAGTATTTTCTTTCCATATGTTTTAACAGAAAGAGAGAATGTATGCCATCACAGCTGTAGTGGTAAGTTACTTACGCCAGTAGTGACTGGACCAAATACTGATTCAGCCTTCTGATGCAGACTAGTTTGCAGTAAAATTTAAGTGTTTTCTAATCAAAATCCAGTTTACTGAATTAGAAATCTGATCTACTTTCTTAACAGCTTAACTTAAAGCCAGCACGGCTTACACTAAAACCTCAGCGTCACTGTGAGACACGTGTGTGCATTACCCTGCATGGGTGCAGAGAGAAACTGACTCCAGTGGGTGCTGGCTGTGTGCAGGTAAAAAGGTTCTGCTGTACATAGTTCATGGAATATTGGGGCACAAGAAAAAGACAAGGGTTTTTTAAATTGTTTTATTCTTTTTGTCACCAACTCATTTCTCAACAAATTTATGGGGCAGCAAAAATGAATCCTTCTTTGAGAAGGCTTTCATGGGCATGTTATGTACAGTAGGGAGTACTTCACTTTCTTCTAGGGCCAGTCTGAGAAATGGATGGGGTTCTGGATATCTGGTCTCCCATGTTTCAGGTGTAGTAAAGAGACATGGCCAAGACTTTTTTAAAAATAATAGTAAGGATGGGGGTGTTACAAGTTAAGTTTCTGAGTCTGCATATAAGCACCTTCTGAAGTTCTGTGCACTAAGGAACTGCCACTAAAGTCATTGGTGAGTATTGACACTTGAAACATGAAGAACCAGATCACTTTTAGGTGCTCTGCGTTTAAGTTCATATTTATCTTCAGGCGCTCAGTTCTGAAAGATCTTGTTCAGGACTGTGAGAGTAATTATTCTGTGAAATTCTAACATGAACTGTTGGTTTCAACTTCCCTGAAGTTGTGTCTCCGTTAAGAAGCTGGCTGTAACCTTTGGAGCATTAGGAATCATTGGAATTTGCTTGGGTTTAGAACATTGGGGGGGGTTATGCAAGAATGTTTTGTTAATTTACATTTCTACTGTGCTTTATTGTTTCAAACATGAAATATAAAATTAGCTTACATTCTCTTCCATTGCAGTGGAACTTTTGAGGCAGTTATTTTTGTTACTTCATATATCAGAGGGATTTTTTTTTTTTAATGGAAAGTTACTGTTTGTGTTTGCTTTTAGTATTTAGCTGCAGATAATTTAGAGTTTAAATAAAAACGGAACTAAACTGGCTAATAAAAATTGCCTGTTACTATGAAATTTTAATCATTATGATCAGATTAATGTGAGTTTTAAAAAACTTTAAATGCCTCTCATTTGTCACAGAAAAGGTAAGTTATGATCTTTGACTAGTAAAGTTTGCAGGTGTTTCTTCTTCTGTTCCCACCCCAATCGTAATGGAATACCAGCAAATCTGATCTCGCCCTCGTTTTTAAAATTTAACACACGACCTGCTTTTGAACAGCAAGTGTACTTGCCTTTTCTTAAAAGGGTGGACATAGTGAGTTACAGTGTGGGGTTTTTTTTCACATTTATAGCAAAAATACACCATCTTCATGTCTTAATTTAGCAGCTAGCTCTGGGAGGAAATTTTGGTTTCAAATGAGCCAGAATGGACAAAAAAGCATAGGGGGTTGTACAGGACAAAAATGGTCAGAAAGCATAGGCTCCTGAAAAGGGGCTGGACACTGCCAGTTGCCATTCCGCATGCTGCTGTATCTGTTTTTATAGGACAGATATTTTTTTTCGAAGTACTGCATAAGTAAAAAAGCTGGGGTTTTTTTCCCCACGAAGTGTTGTAGCACTTTCGTAGTGGGAGGTACTAGGTGGCAAAAAAACCTTTTGAAATTTTTCCCCACATTGATTCCACTGGAGGAAGGCAGTACTTGATTTTACAAAGGCTCTGCTATTTCAGAAAGCACTGCTAGCGAGAGGGCCTGGCATGAGCATGTGAGCTACGTGGCACCCGCTTTTGTGTTACTTCCTTTGGAAAGTGGGTGCCCTACCTTGTGCAGTATGATAGCGCTCCTGCTACAACTAGCTCTAAGGATTTGTGACTTTAATATTTCTTTGGTTTCTGAGATTTGCAGCCATTTTTTCTTGAGGACCTCCTGCCTTACAAACCCCTGTGCTGCGTTTTTTCATGCTGATAATATGGTAACTACTTACATCAGCGATGAAGCTTCACCTGACTCTCAGGAAGCAAAGGATAAAATTCAGCAGGTACAAATTCAAATCTGTTTAAAAAGAAAAACATCGCTTAACTCATTATGTCCATTCTTTTGCAAAAGGAGAGTAAGCATTATGGGGAGATGTTAACAGTTCTTTAAAAATAAAGGTAAAGCTTGTGTCAGCATTTATACGACAGTCTTTTTAGAAATAGTCGCATTTGTAGAGGTCTTTTGCCTTTTTAATATTTTTTTCCTCACAAAAAAAGAAAGTAGTGAATCAGGCCCCTGATTCTTTTAACACTTCAAATGTGTACTTCATATATGTGAAGAGTCCAATATAAAGGAAACAGAAAACTGCAAGGTACTTAAAACATACAAAAATGCAAATGTTACTAAACTTGTGCTTAAGTGTTTATAGGGTTGGGGGCATCAAAGAAATCACCCATCCTGCTCCCCTTCCGTCAATAAAAATATAGCTGGTGAAGTTGCTTGCGTAAGCGTGGTCCATGATGTGTGGCAGGGCTTGCTGAAGGAGAGTGGGAAGGAGTATAACTGGAAAGCATGTGTAATCTATTTAAAACAAAGCTTGCTGGTGTCCTGTAGCTAACATTTTTGAGATTTTAATGTTTGTAAAACAATCTGAAGCTGCTTGAAGTAAATACTAAGGACTACTTTTGCATCTGTATTCTATTTTTGAAAGTTGGCGAGTAACTTGAAAATTTCCATTCGTGTGGGTAAGCTTCATAAAACATAGTTGTATGTGGCAGGTGGCAGAAAAACTGACTTGTTTTGAGCACAGCTTTCCTAGATTTCCCTCTACTACTATTTTTTTTCCACTTCCCAAGTTTCAATTAATGTTTAATGTAGTCTTTTCAAAATAACTTTCAAAGATCAATTTCAAATACTTTTGGATTAATATTAAGTTGGTAGCTAGGGGAAAACCACTTCTATTTGCAGATGGTCGGTTTTATTTATGGCTCTGGTAGAAAACCTTATTGCAAGTCTAGAAAATACAGTGTTAATGTAGGACTGTAAAGTTAGCTATACTTAGGGGGCTTTTATTACCTCAGTGGGACCCACCTAACTTTTCTGTCAGTTTTAGGGAATGGGTGAAGGGAAGAGTGAGCTATGTTTTTATTTTAAATATTTTTCCCTATATATTGTTATTTTTGTAGCTCTTTTTAAAATAAATTATTATATGCTGGAGATTGCAATTCCACTATAGTATCCCACTTGATTCCAGTGTACAATATCAGATTGTTTGTATTGAAAAGAATGTATTTGATAAGTATTTGATAAGATAACAGGAAAAGTTATTTTCAAACAGTGCTGTGGTTGTGTCTAGCAATTGGAAATACTTTTTCCTAGAGAAAATTAAAATTATATCTATATGACCTCATATGTACATTTGGAATAACTGTCTAATGATTACCCCAGGGCTGCTATAACCTTCTCGGAATAATTTAAGAATTGCCTCTTTTTAACTGTTTTAAAGCCTTTTTTCCTTGTCTTTTTTTGGCAGAAAGTAATTTTCCCTAGCTATGGATACAGTATGCTCAGACTTGCATATGTGTTCTGTTTGGGTTTTAAACTGAAAAAAGTGTATAAAATGTGTATAAAGAAAAATGTAAATAAAATATTTTTAATCTTTAAACACTCTTGGTGTAAACTTTGTAGTACTGAAAGTGTGGTGGACCTGGATTACTCTCTACAGGACTTCAGAGTTTACTCTGTTAAGCAACTCTTCAAAAATGTTGTGTTGCTATAACTCATAACATTGTGTTGAAGTTTTTATCCCAACAAGAAAAGTTGGATGTCCTTACACAGCATCAAGCTCCTTTCTTTAGCTGTACTTCAGAATCTTCCCGATTTTAATTGCTGTAGTGCATTCATGTGTCTACTCTGCATTTCAAGCTTGAAACAGTGTTCAGAGTTGACTTCGTTACATTTGTAATTTGGTGTCAAGACACAAATTTAAATTTAAAGAGTGAAAACCGCAGCCAGCCGGGAGAAGAGAGTGTTCCCTGCTATCAAGTACAGGGAATTGAGGGCTCTGAGACAACGCGCGTTCATCACGCGCTTGGACCTCAAAAGCGCCAGCAGTCCAAGCCAGACTGCTGAACGTTTCCAGTAACAGGAAGGGGAAACTTAATTTCAGGATTAAAAGTGTCAGATTAGAACAACATTCAGTACCGTGACTGCTGTCATCTTCTCTTCCACTATATCAATCTTTCCATGCTAAATGTTACTTAAGAGTTGGTTTTGTTCACCTTTTTAATTTCCCTTCTCAGTGAGCCAGGTTGTGGTTTTGGCAATACCTTTCTTCCACAATGCTACACTGGCCGACTTGACTGACTTGTTAGCACCTCTGTAGTTGATAAGGAATCTGTGATAATGGTTCTGCTGTTTCACTAAGGAGAGTTCTCACATTTTAACGGGTTCATAGTTGTTCATACTAAATTCTTCACTTTTTTAAAATATACAGCCTTATTTTTTGGCAGTAGTTCAGTCATCTGTGTTCACTTGTTTGGTGTAATATGAAATTAATGTTAGTTTGGCAAAGGTTTTTTCCAGTTAATTCTTTCCAGATTCTTTGGTATAAGTTATCCACCCTTGTTGACTTGGAATTCTTAATTTCAACAGATGTTCCCCCTTTGTTACAGATTGTGTTTTGGGGTTTTGGTTTTGAGTTTTGGGTGGGTTTTTTGTTGTTTTTTTTTTTCTTTTCTGATTCCATCAGCATCATAATACGGAAAAGGAAAACTGTTGCTTTGGGTGTTGCAGGTTTTGTATTAGTTCTGTACCTTTTGAGTTGTTAACATAGTCGTGGACATGGGATCCCCATCCAGCCTTTAGCCTATCCAGCCTTATGTTTCAGTGTCATCTTTTAATCCAAGTGCTGCCTTGTCCAAGGCAACTTTCTTGGCATGTGCAAAATTTTCGTTCTTTCAAGGGAGAGGGTAGGGAATATGTGTAAAGACAGCTTCAATTTCTTGTTTTCATTAACGCTTTCCACTTTTGCATTCGGTGCTTTAATTGTGCTGATAAGTGCTTTAGGTGGTATTTACAGGTAAAAATAAGCCTCATCATTATCTCTGTTTAAGTGACCTGTTACTCTTCACTCATCTATCCATCAGAATGAACACCAGCACTAAGCATCATATGCTGAGCGCCAAGCCTTCTAGGCCGATGCTATATAATACTTGAGAAACTAAAAAAATACTCTTTTTGCCACATATCTCAATGTCTGTCAAATGTGTCTCCTGGTGGTGTCACCCTCGGGAGCAGTTCTCCTGTACCATGGATAAATGTTGCTCAGTAAGGGTGCTGGAAAAAAAACTTGTTTTCTAATGAGATAGGTGGCTTTAATAGTTAACCCCTTTATTGCACTATTTAATTTTAGCAGACAGATAAGCCTTTGGCCTGAACTGGCAGCCTCCTTTTCCACACCCATTTTGGTGTGTCCTCAGGCATGTTCTAAGCATTGGTTTATTTGCTTTTTTTTGTCACGTGGCTCATCTCACAAGTTTGAGTTATATCAACCATATAATTATTTTTCTACGTGAGAATCTTTCTCTCCTGTGCTGAGTTGTCTGTGTTATGGGTCTGTTCATATGCGTTTCAGTACTACCAATGAGACTCTCTGACTTTACCATCCCTTCTTTGTCAAAAGAATTGCATAATGCTAACTGAAAACAAGTATTTCTCCGATGTTTAACTGCCATAGTCTTGGGAGAAATTCCAAGGTGGTCAGTTTACCTTCCCAGACTGCCCAAGTCATGCAAAGTGCACGAGACTGTGCTTGTGGTGGTGATGCTGGTGTCAATGCAAGGTGTAGCCAAAGTGCTTTCCCCTACGTTGGTGTAGTGATGGCCTTCATTTTCACTCCTGGAAAGTGAGAAACTGCTCTGCTGTTGCCTTGCGCCTCTCGGAAAACCCTCATGTCTAATTTATTCCCAGGAAGGAGTCCTAGTCACTTGGGTGTCCTTGGTCAGCTGAGGATGTTCCATGGGATTTGCCTGGTGTCACACGTGCTCTCACTTCTAACTCTGGCTCTTTACAGGTAGTTCTCCAAGGATTTTCTTTATCTAACGCAGGTGTCAACTCAATACCAAGAACTTATTTTAACTTATTATAATGAAACCCAGAACATCAAAAATCAAAATTTCAGAGTATAAAACCTTATATATATACACACATATATATAAATAATTTCTCCTCCTCCTGGTTCTCGGTTCATTTATTGCAAACAGAAGAGTCACTGTGAAGTAATAGTTTTTCCTGCACTGTTTCTCCTGACAGATTATCCAAAACACTGAAAAGAATTATGTAGTCAGGAAAAAAATAGGTGATGATAATTAACTGAACTATAGCTTTTAATTTAATCACTTTTCATGGTCTTAAAGTTGGGAGCTGATCCAATTAACAACCTTATTGGAAGTGTTTTAGCTGATTTCTGAAAGAGCTGGATTTTTGGCTCAGTACGGTTCTCTGAAAACAAGGGGAGTGAGGCTGACCTCTATATGAGTAAAATAAATACCCCAGCCAAAGAAATCTCAGTACAAAATTGTTAACACCCAAATAATCAACCAGCTGTACTTTGCAGGAGTTATGAACTTACAAAATGATCACAGTTGCTCAGTTTTAGTTTTGTCCTAGCTTTGCGGTTCGGAGATTTTTATTTTTCCCATGGTAAAAATTAATTACAAGAATGTATGTTTTGCTAAACTTGTTAAACCGGTGTAGGAAGCCATGCTTTCAGATTTGCAGCCTTATTCAAAGCAGAGCAGAACGCATTAAAGTGACTAGAAGGGCTAGCAATTTTCTAGCGCCTTAACTTCTGAAGATTTATGCATCTGCTGTGGATGGAAATCGTCCAGTATCCTCCAGAGAGAATGCCTGGGACCTGGCATACAATTTACGTGCTTCATATTCCCATTCTTCTGTAGCAACAGATTGATCCCTCAGGCTTTTCAACCCGTGAAATTGCCATCCCTTGATGTTCAGCAAAGTTGCTCCTGTTTGTAACAGCCAGTTTCTCTACCTGTATAACACCAGGCATTGCTACACACGTACCAGAGTAAGAACCTATTCAATCACACTTGAGAAATGTGATGTTTTTTCTCATCTATAAAACCGCCAAAGCAAGCTAGAGCATTGTGTTTTACCAGTGCCAGTGCCCTACTGTAGTGATTTACGAGACCGAAGAGGAAGTTTCAAATGCTGTGCTAGAGAGAAACAACAGTACAGGCAATGTCACTCTGCACGCCACTACCCCGCACCCCTCTAGTTCCTACACCATAAGCTGCAACTATGCCAGCTGTAGCCCTCCTCCATAAGGCGTGGGGGCAAAAACATCAATGGCTTCAGGTTATGAGAAGTAGCAGGTGGTAACACTTGTTAAACATATAAGGCATCACTGGGGGAAACGATCTAAATGGCAGTTTTCATTAGTGATTGTGAAAGACCCCTGCAACATGTCCTAGAATTCCCTAAAGGCACTTAAGCATGCATAAAGTTGGGTGTTACTCCTTTGTGGAAAATGCTCCTGGAATTGGAGCGGTAGTTGAAGGTATCAGAGGCGATTGGGTTTTGATGAATGTGAGGCAAAGGAATGGAAAGGTGCAAAACCAGCCTGAGCCATGCCATGGTACCAAAGAGCGAGGAACTGTCGTAGGACTTCCTGGCTGATGAGTACTCTCCACAGAAACAGGGGTTTATGTCCTGAAAAGGGCACCTTGCTTCCAGTTTTGCCTCATATCTCTCCTTCTCTCTGTCAAATACGGCCTCTTCATTTTTGCTAGCTTCTGGTAGAGCTTGAGAAGAGCAACGTGTTGGCTGCGTGGCCACTGTAGTGGGCTGGTAAGAGTAAAATGATGAGGTGACTGATGAATTGTATGGAATGACGATCTAGAAAAGAAAAATATTTTAAAGCCAAATGTAGGCTTTTCCTCTCAAAAAGGGTGTTACTCTAGACTGAACAGATAAAGCCGTGAAACCAAATTCTGCCTTCTGGAAATAGAATAATAAAGGTTTTCTCTTACACTCTTCTGTTACATCAAATGATGGTGGCAGCATCAGTGAAGAAGAAATCTGGAGGATTCCTCGTGTGCTGCTCAGCTCGCTCTCCCTTCTTGTTCCAGCTGCCTGACAAAGCCCCCGCAGAATGGTCTGCTGCTCTTCTGGGCCCTGGGATCTTGCACTGCTTCAAGCCCCAGCCTAGGGGGCTTGATGGGGAAGCAAGTCAGAGCTTAAGCCAAGAGTTGACTAACATAAGTATAGGCTTCACTACTCAAGTAGACAAATCTTTGCCCGTTTCTGAAGAACTTGTACCATGCAAAATATCATGCAGCAGGTAGCGGTATGTGCTGCGTTCTCCAGCTGGTCTCTGCGTGTGTGAGCGGTAAGTCCCGCGGACCTCGCTGTAACTCCTCTCGCTCTTACAAGTGCGTGTGGATACTGTTAGAAACATTAAAATGCAATTTCCTAACAGCAAAAATGAACACACTAGGACACTTTCAGTAATAGACTGTAATAATCATGTAATGGTGTATGTATATATAGTAAGCGTATAATGCATTCTACTTCTCATTCGTGGGAGAGCTACATCGTGTGCCCTGGTAGACAGTAAAATAGAAATTAAAACCCTTCAAAGATGATCATCCTGAAAGTCAGTTACAAGTAATGAAGTAAGCTCAGCATGTCACTGTTAATTATTAAGTAAAAGAAGGAATGCGTGCCTTTAATTTGAAATTATTTGGTAGACCTAGAAATTGTCATTCAGGTAAATAAGGTACAACATTTAATATATATATTTATCAAGATCCTGATGTCAATGCATTTATAGGCAAATGAGGTAAAGATATTCACATCATCTTGCTAAGAACTTAAGGATTACTGTGAAAACAATTTTTAAGGTAAAAAGACTTGATTTGCTAAATACCTAGAGAGACTGGCAAGAGATGCAAGACCTTTCACCCTTTTAGCCTCAGTTAATTTCCAAAATGCATCCATCTTGACTGGAATCTGAGATGCATTTGAATTTTGGCAGGAGTTGGACTTTGTTGTGATGGGTGCCCAAGGGCATCAAAAAGGCATTCGTGTTCTTGCTGCTACTCATAGCGTGTATCTGTGCTTTAGAAGACGACTGCTACACTGTGCATTAGCTGACATCTCTGTTGGTAGCGTCAACAGCTTGTTAACAGAAGAATTACTCGTCGGAGCTGGGAGGCATTGAAAAACATGGAACTACGGCTACTGATGCCTGCAGTGAGAAGTCACGGATTTGAATTAGGGAAGGAATGTTTGGGTGTTTAACCACGGTGATATCAAAAGTGAAACTATATGCAGTGTGAGTACACTGGGGTTTTTTGCATGATTTGTTTCTCTCTTCTACCTGTCCCCTGTTTTAGAATATAGGATCTTTATTTGGAAAGCACTGAGTGTATTTTGGATGCTGTCAGATTGTGGCAAAGCTGATGAGACAGCATGCGCTGAAATTCAAGTACTGGTTTACCCCAGATGTGAATGCAGTAACGCCTTTGCTGCAATTAAAGGTAGGTCATCAGGAAAGCACAAAGAGCTCTGCAGTGGCATCTGTCCTTAACATTCAATTTACTTTCTGAAAGTATGACTTCAGACCTCATAGCTGCCAAAATAGCACCTCTGACAAACGTTGAAAACGGACCCACCTGAAGTACAAAAAGCAAAAGGTAAGTTTTACTCCAAATAAAACAGTATTGTTAAATATAAAAATCTGTTCAACACCCCCCCCCCTTTTTTTTTTTCAAGTTAGGAAGTGAATAAAGTAGAAAGAATGAAAGAGTATTCTTATGAATAGGCGAAGCACACTCCCTTCATAAAGGCACCGGGAAAGGTCCATCATCGCGCACCCCTATAAAAGCCAGTTCAATTAGATGTTTAACAAATACGTGCTAGAAGTGACAGGAACGTGAGAAATGGATCGTGTGCTTTGGAGACCGACCAGGAAAAGCTGTGTACCCGACACGTCACCTCCAACTGTGCTTTCTGCGGTGCATTTAGAAAGCCAGGCTCGCAGCGTTAGGTGAAGCTGCTTAACAACTGAAAGTTGAGCTTATTGGAGCCCTTGTGGTTGTGTATTTTCTATTGGCCATGTATTTTCAAAAGAACTTGAAGAGAGATCTGCCGAACAGCATTCTTCTAACTTACAACACAAAAGAGCTGTAAGAGTCACAAAAGCAGTTTATTTTATAAAGACCGTAAAAATAAATTCTAAACAGGCTGGCAAAACTGTAGTGGCAAGACAAGGTATGAAAAAATTCATTCATTTTAGTGAATAAAAGGTGCATGGAAAAATGTGGGTTTGTTTTTTAAAATACACAAGATTTATTGTGAAGGAGAACACCAAAATAAGCCAGCCTTTCAGAATTGCACTTTTCTAATAAACAGTGTGAGTAGGCAACTGCAGAGATGTTACAAACTCACATTTTAACAGGAATGTGCAAGGAATCAATTTTTTTTCTACTGTACCTATAAATGTGGGGCAAATAAGTGTCATTGTACTGCTAGTAAAGGACTGTTCTTATTTTCCTGACAAAAAGATTAAATAAGCAATCTAATACAACGTTATGAAAGCTCAGACTGTAATGGCTAAGGCAAAGGACCGGAGATCAAGTTTCTTAAATTGTATTTTTGCCTGGGCTGACATAGTTTATGAACTGTGGCAACATTTTCAAGCTTCTCTGAGCTGCAGCTTTCTAAAGGAAATATTTCTTTGTCGAGTATTTAGAAAAGCCAGTTAGCAAGAAAAGGGAAAAATACTGGCATGCACAATAAAACTGAAACTTGGTATAGGTTCTTAAATGAGGAACAGCCAGGAGTTGATCGTGGCAAAGCTCTTTATTCTGCAGCCCCAGCAGCAGAAACTTCAGCTCCTTTCTAAGCCTGTCCGATGATGTTTTGGACTGTGTGTAATCCATTATGGCATATATTGTCACCGTCCCAGGGAAATTTTGCAGAGACAATCTTCTCCAGCAGTTATTCCTGCCACCAAAGTACGCAGGGCTTTCGTCCAGATTACTATTGGTATTGTTCCCTATAAAGGTTTTTCCCGTTCCTTTTAATCAGTCGCATCAGTCACTTTAAAGATGAACTTACACATGAAAGAAAAAAATGCACTGAAAGTGCTGGAGCTCATAAAATTGTTTGGTTTAAAAAAATTTATAAAACAACGGTTTGTTCTTTGGATATTTGTATCTGTTACATAACTGTATCAATTGCTGTGTAGTCACTGAATATAAATTGTTCACAAAAATATGTATTTGTAACATATATACCATTGTATGTCCAGAAACAATGGGAGTTTTCTTCACTGCTAATGTACCAAACTTAAAAAGAGAATGCACTTGAAATATGCTTATGTCTGTCCTCCGTAAAACTGGGGAACAGCCGGTCCCACCCACAGCCCCAGACTTGGCTTTGGCTGCGCACTTACCAGAGCAGGCGCCGTTATTCACCTCAGCGCCATCATTCCTCTGGTGGGCCCGCCTGCCGTTCTGAGCTTTGAAGGTTTTCTTTCTCTAACTCCTTGAGGATGAATAAAATACATCAAGAAACGCGACCACTTTGCAAACTGTCTGGTCTCTCCCCGCGCTCTCACAAAAGCGCCATAAAATACCGCAAAATTGCTTTTCCACAAACATTTGCTGCACCCCAGCTGCTCATTTTCCACAGATACAACGGACTGTGCGAAGCAGAACGCAATGGAGAAAGAGGCCCATTAGCGTTCTTCACCCATTGGTCACTTACGTACATTTTAGATACAACTCTACCTTGCTAAAGAGGGAGTCTTTATAACCAAATCCATAATAAAATACCATTATCATTTGTTACCCCGTGGTTTGGGTACCGAGGCTCATCTTGTTCCATTCGTTCATGGTATTTCCGACATCCTGTTAACTTGCAAGCATCGGCTGCTGCTTGTGAAATACAGCAGAAAAATACAATAAAGCTTTAAAAAGAAAAGGCAGAAACCCGAAGTCACCTTATTTCACCCCATGTTGCTCCTGACAATAGTCCAGTGTGCCAACAGGTAAGAAGGGCTGCCTGCTAATTTCACAGGCAGCTTGCTGAGAAGCAGCATCGCTCAATTCCCCAGCGCGATGGTTAAAGATCCCCCCATTAGGCTGGAAAACACTTGTTCCTGCTACAGCTGGTTCTATCAGGTCTGTAACGAGACAGCAGTAAAGAAATGCAGGAATTTTCTTTAGGAGGGAACAATAAAAACTATCATCACAAATTTTAAGATTATAAGAGGGGGCGTACCTCCTCTTGTCATTCCCACCGTACCCTTCCCAGTGAACTATCTGCTGCCTCGTTCTTCAGGGGCTTTTACCTTTTATGTAAAACTTCCTTTTGATAAAATTTTCCAGGACTCATAGGGTGCTCTTTTTCATATTCTAAAGGCAATATTAGCTATTTTAAATTTCTACAGCTTGGGGGGGGGGGGAATGGGGTGGAATGCCCTGAGAAAACTCATAAAAGAGAGGATCCACATTGTTTTCCTGGAACAGAAAACTGCCTTGGTTTACCTTACCTGACTGGAATTTAGTACTGGTTATTTCTGATGTTCTTCTGCCGCCAAGTAACAGGTGGGACAGCCTAGGATGTGTACGGGAGCCTCCCTCGCAGCAGATGCGAGCGGAAAAAAGCTTCCTCCTGGGCTGCAGAAACCAAGGAGTGTTAAGGTAACGGGGAGAGGCCTGGCTTTACGGGTTTCAAGTTAATACTTTGAGGTTAGAAAGGCTCGGAACCCTCTCTTCACCCCCATCCAAATTCTAACGGGGCATTGGGGTAGCTCTTGGCCCCCTTCATAAAGGCCGCGAGGTGCGAGGCGTGACTTGGAAGAGGCGCTGCTGCGCGGTAGCTGCTGGCACGTGGAGCGTCTCCCGTGACCCAGCGCTTTCCCGCCGGCGGGACGGGCCAGCCCAAAATCTGATCCAAGCCCAGATTCAAAATTAAGAATGCAAAACGTGCCTGGCGAATCTGGCCGCACACAGCTATTGCCCCTTCTGCTTTTAGCTCCCCTTCCTTTTCTCTTTTTTCCCCTCCCCCTCTTTCCCCGCCCTTCCTCCCCGCCCGCCGCCG